CCTATATAAGAGAGAAAATAAAATAATCCATTTCTCTTTGAATAAATTCCATTTCTCTTTATAAATAGAGAAATGGATCAAAATTAATTGTCGATTTGTCTACACTTTATTTCCATTTCTCCTTATAACTGGAGATATGGAAGAAGGATTTCCTCTTAAAAAGTAACCGTTTCTTATGGTATATAGTGTAGTATTGATTTGTACTGGAGGAGAATTCGATGTTGAAAGATGAATTTCTGCTTAACTTTTTGAGGTTAAACCATTTCTCCTAAAAGTTGAACGGTTTGTCTATGAAGTGGGGAAATGGTCCACCCCTCGATTTTCTCCAATATGTCATTTCTTGAACTCTTGTGAAGACATTCTTTCTCAGAAATTGGCCATCGACGAAATTCAGAAACTCTAAGATATTATCAGTTAAGTCTTCTAATCTTAAATAAATATATTTCTCCTGAATAAGTGAAAATTCAGATAAAATTGGAATTGACTTGTATCGCAAATATTCACTCTATTCATTAATTAACCTTAAGAGAATCTTATATTTTGTGTTTGAATATTTGGAATATAAATATTTCAAAAGTTATTCAAAAGAAAAAGAGAACTTTGCAAGGTCACGATCTGTAAAATGATAATGCTGTAATCTTGCAGAACGCTAGTAGAAATAGTTAATAGTTATGTCATTGGTTGCTTTAAAAACTATGCATTGAAAACAAAAACATGTCTGTTAACTCCTACTGAAGTGTTCGTTAGTCAAAGAAACATTTGAATCATTAGCCTTAATAGTTATTTCCATACAATGTAGTATTTATGCACAAATTTTTTGATTGTTAGTAAATTTATCAATAAAAATCTTGAACAAACTGTTCAAATTCTTCTGAAAAATCATGATCTTTATAAATTTACTTATGCGCTCATGAAAAAAAACGTGTTTTTTCTTAAGTACTGTTTCCTCATACATTGTGATAAGTCCAGTGAATGATAAAGTTAATTTCGTCAACTGTTGTCTTTTAAAGAAGACTCATGGTTCCACACACTACGCATGCCTTTTTCTTTTCATATCGAATATAATTGTTGTTAGTCTTTTTTGAGGAACTATTGCCTTTAGTCAATTACTTTTTGGTTAAATAAAAACATCAAATTTTGATAGCATTTGATATCAATATTTTCGAAGTAAATCATCACTTTGAGAAGAAAGTTAGGAGATTTACAAAACTTTCACTTTGATCTGATTATCTATAGATGACTGAATCAATTTGTTTGATCTGCCTCCTCTATTTCTTTTTTCATAGATCTTTTAAAGTTCTACAAAAGATATCTTTTTCTCTATTGCATTCATATTATGAATTTTGAGTGAATAATTTTATCTTATATTTTTGAGAAAACTTGTTTTTGATAACATCAGTATGTCTTTCACCTCTGCACGTGTTTTATGCGAGACTTATCATTTCAATGGAATAATATTCATTTATCTAGCATCTTCTATTGAATTTTAAAAAGAACACTAAGATAATTTTAATTAAAGCTGCAAAAATCGTCGAAAAATATATCCAAGAAAGTAGGATATGAGACAACAAAATTTCAAAACAGGAAACTTTTCAAACATAAGATTGCCAATATGAATATCTTTAGGAATATAAAGAATGTTACAAAATTAAAATCATAATCATCTAATATGATGAATATTATTCCATTGAAACGATTAATTTTGTATTAAATCTATTCAGATAAAAAAACACATAAAGCTATTATGAAAAAAATTCTTCTCATTGAAATGTAAGATGAAATTAGTCATTGGAGATTCGTACGATAGGAAAATAACATTGGACTAGATTGATGCAGTCTACAAAATGATATATTTCAATCAATGAACAGTTTATAAACTCATTGTCTTCTTAGATTAACTTGTCATATATGTTTATCTACATCAAAATGGTAATGAGACAAATGCTTGTAAGGTTTTTTACATCAAACAATCAGCTGTAACTGAGAGTTTCTACACTGAAAAAACTGATTTTGGTGTGGGTGAGTTTGGATGAGGTCAGAAAGAGGAGATTTACCCACACCCCACAAAAAAGCTTGTCAAACTCGTGAGAATGTGTGCGTAGGGCACATCTGAAATTCATTTTTCTTTGACTCCGTGTGGAAGATGCAAGAACAAAAATAAATGGTAATTAACAGCTGGTAATTTCTTAATATAGAATCAATGTCCATCTTCATTTATTAATAAGAGATAAATTAGATTTTAAAAAATAACTATGAATATATATGAGGATTATGAAAATGCTGCAGTCAGACGTCTTTTCTACTCGTGCTTAGTTTGAGTGGAGGTCTAGTTTAAATATGTTACTGTTATTGAACAATGAAATGTTGTAATAAGTTTTAACTTTTAAAATACTAATATAAGGATAAATTTGAAATAATATAATTATTTGTTGTAAGAATACTTAAAAATAGAATACATTTCAAGTTGTTTATTTTCTGTCAGTTATATGTGAGAAAGGAAATAGAACAAGATGATAAAGGGAAAAGGAATTAAAATAGCGTTTGGTATCAAAATGTAACTGGAAATAAATTGATTATTAATAATAAAAAATATCTTTTGGTCAAATATTAGTGTTATTGTTTTTCATGTAGGAGTAATTTTTGTATACAGTCTATTGTACAACTAATAAAGAATATTAGTACAATTTAATATCAAACACAGAAGATCTTTTCATCTGATTTAACTTACGAAACAAAATTTTAAAAGTTTTGCTTTATTCATGTTGAAAAGTTCTTATGATCCTTTCACAAAAACAAGTCTAAGTACAAAGAAATAAAGAAATATTAGCAGTTTCATTTTATTATAATCATACAAAAAGTATATAAAGAATGAGTATTTGAACTTTGCAGATCATGCAATTGTTTCTCATAAAGTTGATCATATTCATCTTCGCCATTAATAGTAAGAACAATGACTTGCAAATGAGGAAGTAGCTCGACAATTAAATAGGCAATGTTTACCAAATTTGGTTGTCACAAAACAGGAAAAAGATTGAGTTATCGTAAGCCATTTGACATGAGCATTCTGCACAAAGAAATATTATCGAATAGATAGATTAAATTTTCCTCTTTCAAATAACGTTTAGTATCATATTCTGATCTATAATGCAGCTCCAGAGTACGTAGATTAGTCGTTTGCAAAAAGACAAAGATGAGTTGAATTGAATGGTTGAGTATAATACTAAGTGATTTTATTTGATGCCAAACAACGATAGATGGTGATAAAGAAAGAAATTCATCGTTGATGTGATCATAATAGTCACTGATAACAATCCTATTGCAACGAAACAACTTATTATTGAAGGTATGACCTTGATATGGTCATCGACTTCTTCTAAATTAAACAAAAAAAAAACTTTCTATTTATACCCATGCACAGTTTTATGTAGATAGGAATAGACATAAATATTCATCGCTTCTTGGTACTGTTATAGCTCTAATAGGGTGTATATGTGGATGTTCAACAAAAAAAGACACTCATACCCACACCCAGCTCTTCTACTCACAACTATCGTTGGTGCTGCAGCTGTGAATGGCTTATTTGGCTTACTTGTCGTAGATGACGATGTGCCACTAGCATATGGTTTTAAATTTTTCTTGTCCATTTTAATGATAATAAGGACGATAGTGATGGCCTCCTGATTCTTTTTCAATTTGCGTAAATGAATGGAAACATGGATATTTGTTTGTTGCACACTTTATGAATCAGCAAAACAAAAACATTTCGTCTCTATCTTGGGTGTGAGTGAACGTAATACCAACACACAGGCCTAGATGCAGATTCACACCCACACTCACATCCTAGTAAAAAGTGCTAATCATTTAGAATTATTTGTTTTTTTTTTTGATAAATTACATAAAGAAATCGATCAAGTGTTGAACATGTTTTTAATATATCATCAATTATATTTGAAAAATATACAAAAAATATTTATTGAAATATTTGGTGGAAATCAATATAAATTAATTTATTCTGATTATCAATATAAAAGAACATCAAATCAAATAAATCTTAAATTAAATACAAAAAATAAATAAAATAAATATTCACATCAAGATTTATATTCACTTATATGGACAATATATGCATTAGCTAAAACAATTTATCCATGAACTATCAATGATCTTATTGCTTCATTTCATTTACTTATTTCTAGTTTTTTCTTTTATTTATGATTATGTCAAATTAGCCAAAGTAGATCATATACTTAAAGGTAACAAAATATGAAGATTTTATTTATATATATATCATTTTAATCGACTTTATTATTAACATATCATTTTTTATTTTAGTTTTTTTTCAATTAAAAATTTTCTTTTTCACTTCTTATCAAATGAAGATTTCTTAAGAGATTTTTTTTGTTTATTTTATTTAAAAGCCTTTGAAATAAGATCTGAAACAAATTCAATTTTCGATTGTTCGATATAGAATTAAATTTAATTAAATATTTTATTTCGAGATTTATCAATATATTATTAAATAAAAATCATTTCAAATATTTTTTTTTATCGAACACATATATATATCTATCGATAACTTAGAAAAAAAACCAATTTTCTTGTCAATATGATTATTAATCGATGAAAACGTAAATAATCGAATATGATTAACGATTATTTCAAATCATGTTTTGAAATTTAATCGTTTAAACGATATTATAGTTATAACTATGAACAATCGATTAATAATCATTTATAAATAATATAATTATAACCAAGATTTACAAATAATGATTGTATTCATATTAGAAATTATATTTCATCATATTAAACGAGTTATTCAATCTATTCTACTTGTTTTTTCTTAATTAAACTATGGAAAATGTTTCGTTGAAAAGATGATAGATTAACTGTAGAGTTTCATAAATCGAATATCTATTGTTCAAGTTGTTTATTATGATAGAAATCGATATTTGTTGTCAACAAAATCAAACTAATTTGAATTATTTATTCAAAACGAATAAATATATAATAATCGAAATAATTTAATTAAACTAAATCTAATAAATTGAATAAAAAGATATAAAAAAACAAAAAAGAAAAGTGTTGTTTTTTTTTGTTAAAGTTGTTGTTTAAATGATTTATGTTCAAATGATGGAAACATAATCGATAAATTATGTATGATGTATTGTTGTTCATCGAATATGTGTCGATCAATAATCGAACAACATTTAAAAAATGATTTATTTAAACGTCTTGATAAAAAAAGAAGATTTTTTAAATGAATTTAATTATTTGGAAACAATTCGTGATATAAATCGTCAATATGATGAAATTGTTTTAACAAATTGTATAATTGATGAAAGATTTTTTTTAGAAAATAAATTTCAATTAAATGACTTATGTAATTCATTAAATGAAAATCAATATTCAAAATCTTCTCAAAATCTAACATTATTAACAGCAAATCAACATATTACATCGAATGATTATCAAACAATTTCTTTTAATCAATATTTAACATTCATATCTCAAGCTAATCAATTAATTAAATTATTATATTCAATTGTTCAACAACAACAAACAAAACCAACAAATAATCTTATTTCAATTATTGGACAACAAACTTTTTTTATCAAATCGAACATAAAATAAATTTGTTTTTCTTTCTCAAACCTTCATCATGTTTTTTCATCATAAGATTTTCTTAGTGGAACTTTTAACTTTATCTTTTGCGTTGTTCCCCGTTCATACATTGAAAATAAAAAGCCTTTCGACAATTGAAACTAATTCGAAACCTATTTCAATTTGTTAATGTCACCTTTTTGAGCAGTGTAGCAGCGACTAGCTAGAAGTCAACTATGATAAGTTTACTTTCGGTAATAGACACAGAACAGTACTTAGCTAAATGTTACGTTAGAATCTATGATAAGAGAACCGTCAGATTTGTTTTACTCATATTGATTTGTATAGGAAAGAGACAATAAACCTGATTAACAATCAGATTTGAACTATATTTTAATAATAATTGTGTGTTGAGAGTTGATCGATATAGAATTGATATTATAGATTGGAATTAGATGTAAATCAAATAAATAGTTTGCATTAAAATGAACAAGAGACTTACAAGACAAAAAAATTCTATGAGAAATCGAGAGATAAATCCGATAGATAATTTTCGTGACGATCGATAATCAGAGATAAATAAATGAACTCATTAAACGATTTTAGATTTTTATTATTTCAACTAATAAAAAATATTCTTAAATTTATATTTTAGACAGAGACAATTATCATCACTATCTTTTTTTTT